TGAACTAACGTTCATGATTACAGTGGCTCAGTAAGTGAATAATCGTCATGAACGCCACGCGCCACTAGTAATAGGTACCTATGAAGAAATGACACAGTAGGGCTCTCGGGTGATAAGCATGCAGCAACTTTTCAAAATCAGCGAATTCCCAAAAATATATAAAAGCACAAGACAACTGATCAGCTTGCGAATGCTTTAGGTGGGAAACACTAAGGAAAGTGCATTGCGCGTAAAGCGCACTGGATCAAATGAATAGGCCACATCGATATACCCGTTTCTGCCCTTAGGCCCGAGATACACGAAAATAGTTCCACGGTTTTAGGGGACTTCCTGATTTTTTCGACTATAGTCTCTAGCTGGTAGATAGGCGACACCTTCAACAACACATTTATGCAGCTACATGACTCAAAACTGTCAAAAATCGAGATACGCACTTCTGCACTTTGACTATCGATATGAGAATACATTCTAAATTTTTACGCAATTCTGCACTTTGACTATCGATATGAGAATACATTCTAAATTTTTAAATAGAAATGAGAGAATATATATGTCACTTACAAATTCACGGAGTGGGAGCTGAGAGAAGTTATCTGCGGACCACAAAGTTAGGAAGACTTCCACATGCCATCGCCATCACCTTGGAGCCATTCCACTTGGATTCTCCCACGAGGAAAACCAGATTCTTTACAAAAGATTTGATGCACCGAATTGTAAATCTGTAGATGAGGTCGTATAGAGAGCTTTCAATTTTCACATTAAACAATGAAACCTGATGATGGTCTCAACCTGGACTCAACTGACTCAACACAACAGTTTCGCTTTCGCGGTTCGCCAAAAGATTGAGGTTATGTAGAGTAAAAAATGAAAACACATCATTCCCTTCGAAAGAGGTTATGTTCACGTAAACAATCCTAATTTTATTGATAAGAAGTAAATCCGGCTCCTTTAAATCTGTTTTTCTAGTTGCACTACAATGGGAAATTGGTGTGCTTTTGACAGTTCTGTGCTTCAGAGAATTTGCATCAGAAGTCCAATCACATAATATCAATAGTCTGTTTCATTTTAAAGGGCTGTTTTGTGTTATCCGTCTTCTATCAACAGCGATGAGTGTAGAGGTCCATCCACTTACAAGCAACCCTACAGCTGCCTGGAAGGACATTAGCAGGACTCAAAAAGTCATCAAGTTAAATGTCTCGGTACCGAAAGCACCAGTAGCTCAAGACAAGGTAAGTAATTGTAATTATCATTTAATCTGAACCTTATCAGAAGGACAGCTGGAACAACGAGAGGAGGTAAATTTCGAGCCACAGGACAGATGAGTTGGTCTTGGACGTAAGGAATAGCTATTTAATGGTAAATCTAAACAAGTATACATTGATGTCTAAATCCTTACCTCAATTGGAACGCTTTAAAATCTGATTATGTTTATTTTCCTCAAGGAAAACTAATCGAAATATGTCCTCTCGCTTTTTCATATAATTGTTTTATATCAAGTGAGGAGGATGCGCAGAAAATTTGAGTGAACCTCTAAGTTTTCCTCAGTTTCCCTCCTCAAGCATGAGCGGAAACTTACAGCATTGCAGTATGAGGCACGCATTTTCAGGCAGGTATTAATTCGATAGAAAGCTGAAAATTCACCTACAGATAGAAGAAAGCTCACTGCCAAAAGCCTCTTGCTCGCAGCAATCTTGTTCATGATGCCAACCTCAAACTTTTTTTCTTCTTTTTTAAATAAGTTCATACACTTCTAGACTGCCACAGAAGATAATCTGCCGTCACTTTAAAATGTCAAGTAAGTGGAAGAACGTGAATAGCGGATCTTCTGTAGCAGTCTACAAGTGTATAAACTTATTTGACGTGGACTCTACAAATTACCAGGTATATTTGAATGATTGAACTAGGGTATCTTGTAGGATCTCAAGAATAGCCTCTAGCTAAAATACAGCGTGCCAGAACTTGTGTAAAATAAGCTGTCACATCTCTACTTTTAACCGTCATGCAGTTGATGCAGGCCCAGCTTAGCCACTATAAAATGGCAGTGGCACAGCTGCCTGTGAACAGAAAGTAAACAAGTGTCAAATTTTCTGTCATGATCTCCACAGCTTCTTAAACCAAATTATCGGCTCCACTTTTATGTACTATCCACCACTTGAGCCAATGATGGAGAACAGAATATTCTTCTCCGTTTGGGTTAGTCTTGCTGAGACTCAGTATCCTTTGATAAGATACCTTCAAGGATACCTCAGCTTTAACGATGATTTCAAGGAACAATACTGATATGACAAATGGAAAAATGCTTCAAGCACGGTGTATACAAACCAGATGAAGATCAATGAACTTTGCCCCATAACTGCTTAGCTGAAAATTAATCAGTCAGCATCAAGTAAAGTGAATGTGCAAGACTGTGTAAAGCAAACATTACCGCTGAAAAATGGTGATATACCAGAAGTGAATTTGGCTTCACTTCTTTTCATTGCTCGGCTGGATATTGCAAGGTCTGAAGGAGAATTTGTCTATCGTAAATCTGTTCTTTGAGATTTGTGAATTCAGTAAATTCTTGCCTCCTCTCTTAAACTGATTGATTTTAAAATACTTCCTCAGGTACGCTTTGTTTGTATGAGTGACACACACTCATTGACTTCACACTTGAAATTTGATATCCCGGCTGGAGATGTGTTTATTCATGCTGGAGATTTCACTCGATGTGGTGGCATTGATGAGGTCATCGAATTCAACAATTGGATCAGTAAGTTTCCCAGAATTTTATACTTGAGTGCTAAGGTTTTGGATTCTAAAAATAATCAAATGCAGTACTTTCGGGAAATAATGAGTGTTTCCATGAGTGTTTCCGGTTCTCACCGGAAGTAACCAGGAATGCTGAAAATTTCCGGCAATTATTCATTTCATATGCCGCAATCACACGCTGAATTTGGCAGCTGAATATGGAAGTCAACAGTCAGCGCTCAACAGCTGAAATTCGAGTTGTTTTCATCCAGATCTGTATCAAATCTATTTGGAACCAATCGATGAGATATGTCACATGCTGTTTTGACAAAAAATATGGCGTTCATCGAATCACCTTAAATGAAAAAATTCCCAGGTTTTGACATTATTCACTTATTATTTCCATTGTCGCTAGTAGCTATAACCCACAATTAGGACGCTTAATGAAAGACGCTGTCTCTTGTATCACCGAAAGACGAACAAATTAGAAGTTACTATACTTTAACTCTCAGGAAATGAGAGATATTTTTGCCTTTCCTCATTTGTAATTTTTTCTCTGAACAAGATTTTTTTCTTGATACCCACATTTAAAAAAATTACAAAATTTGCCGCCATGGGCCGCGACTCATGTGGCCACCCCCTAAATCCGGCCCTGGATTTGACAGCTCCTAGCGACCGTTTTGACAAGCAAAAACATCCGGGACGGTCGTGAAGTGAAGCTTAATGACTGCATATTTTCGAAATATTTTGGGCGGATGACAAATTTTTTTCGTAATCAAATGCATTGTTTACTCAACTGCAAGTATTTTTGATGAAATTATTACAAAAATCAGAAAAATTTATCAGACCAAAAAAAAAGTTATGAGGTTGTAAACATTGCAACCTTCCAATCATGACAGTGACGGTCCTAACATTTTAAGCAGTAAAAGCTGAAAATGAAGCTTAATCCATCAATTTACACAATTTTAATGGTTATAATTCGTTTAAAACACTAATTTTCCATCATATTTGGTGAAATATGAAATTTTTTATTATACATTTTACAAATAAAACGATCATGACTGGAATTGGACAGTTTTCGTAGAATTGCCCTACTAGTATGCTCTCTGGTTACCCTGGAAAAATTCTTTACTTCTGCCTCATTTAGAATAAGCGTGTGCTTGGCCTGACACATCCTAGCTGTGTTTTGTATAATTTTTTAGCCTTTTACCCACTTGTTTAGTGTATTTCTCTTGTATCTTGTCAAGTCAGCTGTTTGTGGCAGCAGCCTAATTCATACCACAAATGGATTGCATTTTGCAAAAAGGAACCACTAGCATTGCAATGATGCTAAGATTGTGCGACTTCATCTTTTGCAATAAAATTGCGGAAATCGTGAAAAACTATGTAATTTAGATGGTAATTTTTGTCTTAAATTTACAGTTTTTTGCGAGTAAAATAGAAACTATTAATGGATAATCGGGTTTTTCCTTCAAGACAAAAGAAG